ATTTATTCTGGACAACCCTTTTAAGCATCCATTGCAGCACCTTTTCTCCTTTGAAACTTCATACAACCCAACAACCATGGCTTCCTTACTGAAAATTGAGAAACAAAACCACAGAACGGAAAAACCCTGAAAAGCAAAAGATGGAGCAGGCTCCAAAAATACTTGGAAATTTAATCCCAACCCTAGACCACTATTAAACCATCCATTACAGTATTTAGTTTCTATTAGAAGACTTAGAAATTCCATACACAAGAATCTGTCTCACTGAAAACCAACAGAAAACAAATAAAACGTAAAACTGGAAAACAAAAGATGGAGCAAGCTCAAAAAAAAACTTGGAGCCGCCTCCAAGTGCCTTGGAGCCGCCTCCAAAGGCTTTAGAGCTGGCTCCAACCAAAAAAAAGCCGGCTCTTTCCCTCCTCTTCTCCATGTTCTCTTCTCCGGCTTCGTCTACTCCTCCGACGCTTCACTGTTTAGGTTCTTAGAAACTGTAACTAGATCCCAGTAGGTTCCAAACCTTGTTTAAGTCCTTATTATACTTACTAACATGGATTCAAACAGAAAACAATGTAGGAAAAGTTTCAAGTTTTAAACAGTTTATCAAATAGAACTTACGACCAACAGTTTAAAATCATGGAAACAGATATCATATATTTCTTCGTTAAAACATGTAATTCATCCTGGAACTATCTAAGCATGCAAAGAACACGAAGCCTAAGGGAGAGAGTTAAGACAAAACTTACCTTTGAGACTTTTGTTCAAAGTCTCTACGTCGGCTTCTAAGGTTCTGGCAAAACTCTGTTTCTTCACTTGGCTAATTACCCAGACGTCACCAAAACTTCTCACCACCTTACTGTGTAGTAATGATATTCTAAAACCCTACACAGACCTCTTAGATGAGTATTTATAGAACATACTAACCCTAGACTTAGTTAAACCCTAATCAGATTACTCGGCCCATAACACAATCTAAGTGAAAAGCATGACGGCTACTTATGTGTTTACCTAATGGAACTATATAAAAGTCACGTAAAAACTATTAAATAAATGCATACCATTTAAAGCAATAATTTAAACAACTAATTACAACAACCAATTAAATAAATTAAAACAATTAATTTCAAATAAAACAAATAATCAAATAAATTCAAAACAAATAGCCAAATAATGAAATTAAAAACCATTTATGCAAATAATCAATTAAACAAAACAATTAGTCAAATAATAATAAAAAAATTGCAATTTAAACAATAATATAAATACCAGGACTATCCTTTTGAAATTAGGGGTATTACATGCCCCGCTGACTATATTGCGTACAAACAAGCAGGAGAAGGAGATTGACGAAGTCCCTTTGAACAAAAGGGCAAGGCTGAACCCTTCTTCAACCACGAAACCCAAGGGTGCTTCCAACCCAAAAAGCAAAGGGAAGAAAGCCGAGGAGATTAACCCTGAGGATGAGGTCAGCGCCTACGTCCTTGCCGAGGCTGGGGCACTTTGGACTCCTTCCTTCTCAAGGGCAGACAAGTCCATCCTCCATGTTGGTGATTCTATAATCACTGACCCATCTACAGCACTGGCCGTCGCTCGGGGAATGTGGCTCCCCAAGGATGAAGAAATTATTGGCAGAATGGGGTTGGAACAGCTACTCTCATCTGCCCCTATTCGAGCCATAGAGGTTTGCTCCTTCCTTCATTTCCATTGTCATAATTGTCTTATAAATTTTCTTACATTGTTATTATCTCATGACGCAGGGCTTGTATCATACTATAGCCCTCTGTGCTACTGCTGAGGCTCAGTCTCTTTCTCTTAAGAAGCTGGAGAAAGACCTCAGCAATTTTGAGAAGAAGGCATCCCAGCCATTGCCAATGCACAAATTGCATATGAGGCTCGGGATGTTTATAAGAAGCGTCTAGCTGCTTCTGATGCAAAAGTTGAGTCGCTGGAGGCTAAAGTCCAGCGCTTGAATGATGCCCTTAGCACCTGCATCATTGCTGGGAGGCAGATGCAAGGTCGTTACTCCAGTCTGGTGCACTTGTCAAGTGCAAAAGCTTACCGGTCCGGCTTCAATCAAGGCTCAGGCCCCAAAATGATGGATCCTGATGCCTTTGATGTGAACATGGGGGTATCCTTCCCTTATAATGAGGGTCCGAAGGCTCAGGAAGCTGAGGTGCTTTTTGTTAAAATGGTGAAGGCTCACCCGGAAGATCTTCCAAGCTCATCAACTCCTGTAACTCCTGGTCCTTTAATTCCTCCACCTGCAAGTCCAGCTATAGTAGACACTTTCAAATCTACCCCGTTTGATCTGAAGAGGAAGTAGGATCAAGCAAAAAAATTTTTTTTTTTTTCCTTGTAATGAAACAATTTTGAGAATGTTAAATTTGAATGATATAACCTTGTTTCTTAAGCTGTGTTTCTTTTATTCTACTTTAACTGAGTATACTTCTGATATTGCACACACTCTGTTGAGAGATTTTTTTTTTTTTTTTTTTAAAGGAAGGTACTCTGCCTGAAGGTTCCTTTTTTGTTTTAGTTCGAAGCAAAATAAATAAGAGGTTTTCCAAGCCGGACACTTAGTGTCCAAGGCGAATGGATTACTCCCTGGCGCTGGGCCTGAGGGAATTTTCCAAGCCGGACACTTAGGGTCCGAGGCTAGATTTTTGCCGAGCCGGACACTTAGGGTCCGAGGCGAGATTTTGCAGAGCCGGACACTTAGGGTCCGAGGCGAATGAACCACTCCCCGGCGCTGAGCCTGAGGGAGTTTGTGCCGAGCCGGACACTTAGGGTCCGATGCGAGATTTTACCGAGCCGGACACTTAGGGTCCGAGGCGAGATTTTGCCAAGCCGGACACTTAGGGTCCGAGGCGAGATTTTTGCCGAGTCGGACACTTAGGGTCCAAGGCAAGATTTTGCCCAGCCAGACACTTAGGGTCCGAGGCGAATGAACTACTCCCCGGTGCTGAGCCTGAGGGAGGTTGTGCCGAGCTGGACACTTAAGGTCCGAGGCGAGATTTTGCCGAGCCGGACACTTAGGGTCCGAGGTGAGATTTTGCCGAGCCGGACTTACCTCTATCCCTCTTTTATTCACTATGTAGCCGAGAAATTGACCTAATGATACCGCAAAGGAGCACTTGGACGGATTCAACTTCATGTTGTACTTCTTCAAGGTATTGAAAACTTCCTGTAGATGCTTCGGATGATCTTACTTCTTCACACTTTTAACCACCATGTCATCTATATATGTTTCAACTGTCTTTCCCAACAGATTATCAAATATCCTGTTGACAAGACGTTGATAAATAGCTCCAGCATTCTTCAGTCCGAAGGGCATGACCCTGTAACAATAAGTCCCCTTTTCTGTAATGAAAGCCGTTTTTTCTTCATCTTCGGGGTTCATTGGAATTTGATTGTATCCCGAGTATACATCAAGGAATATCAGCCTCTCGTAGCCGGTGGTAACGTCAACCATCTGATCTATCTTGGGCAGAGGGAAGCTATCTTTAGGGCAGGCTTTGTTAAGGTTGGTATAGTCTACACAAACCCTCCACTTTCCATTCTTCTTTTGTACGACTACCACGTTTGACAGCCACTGTGGATATTGCACTTCTCGAATGAAACCTGCTTGCAACAATTTGCTCACTTCTTCAGCTATAATGTGATTGCGTTCAGGGGCAAACCTTCGGTGTTTCTGCTTAACCGGTTTGAACTCCGGATCCACCTTCAGACTATGGCAGGAAACTAAGGGATCGATCCCTACCATGTCCGAGTGATCCCACGTAAAAGTATCTGCATTGCTCCGGATAACATCAATTAACGCCTCCTTTTCATTGGACGCAGAGGAAGAGCCTAGATAAGTAACCTTCTGAAGGTCGCCGAGGAAAACTTCCATGGCTTCAAGGGTCTCCTCGGTGGGCTTCGCAATTTCCTCTTCCTCCTCTACCTTAAGATACTTGGGCAGAGGGCTCTGTAATTACTATTTGGGTCCAGTTTTGGAAGCCACACCTAGTTGCTGTTGAGTCGACACCCTCTTTGCTTCAACTTGTGTCAACATATAGAATTCCTTCGCTGCGACTTGATCACCCCACAGATTAATTACTTCTTTCCCATCCGGAGATAAGCATCGCATCACCTGGTAAAGGGTGGACGGAACTCCTCTCATCCGATGTATCCAGCCTCTTCCCATAATGAGATTGTAAGAAGGATGGATCTCTATTAAAACAAAGTTTTCCTTCAGAGTCCTCTTCACCACAGTTGTGGATAAGTCTATTACTCCAAGGGGATCTACTCTTGTGCCATCGAATCCCATCAACGGGCTGGAGGTAGGTCGAATAGATGATGACGGGATCTCTAGCTGCTCAAAGACCGTCTTTGTGATTATGTTGGCACTACTTCCTGGATCACCAAACACTACAACAAATAAGGGTTTCAGCGGCGGTCTAAACCGCCGCTATAAGGTTTCAAAAACGCCGGTAATTCCTTTACCGGCGATTTTACCTAACCGCCGTTATAGCCACCGCCGGTAGGTTTCAGCAGCGGTTTTTACCTAACCGCCGGGTTTGAAATAATTACCGGCGGATGTATAAAACCGCCGGTTAAAGATTATTCAGCGGTGGTTTTGTCCGCCGGTGCATTCAAATAAAAATGTCAATTAACTGTATACTCCGGCACTTTGAAGCGCCGGTAATCTAATTTTTTACTTTTGGGGGCATTTTAAAGCGCCGGTGTATTCTTATACTCTGGCACTTCAAAGTGCCGGTAATGTAGATTTATTACTTTTTGGGGCATTTTAAACCGCTGGTGTATTCTAAGTAAACTGTATAATTTTTACTTTTGGGGGCTTTTAAACCACCGGTAATGTGTTAAATTTTATAAATATATATATATATATATATATATATTATTTTCCGGTTTTATTTACATATTAGCAAATATTTTATCTTGTTCCCTGTTCGATGAAATCAAAGATAATTTACCAATCACAACACATCTAACAACTTAAATTTAATATGTAACATAAAACAAAATTGCATTAAAATTCAATAACATCCCATAACATATAAGTTTTGTTTCAAAATGTCAAGTGCTAATAAAAGGTTCAAAAAGAAACACAAAAATGTAATAAAGCTTCAAAAGGAAATCATTCAAAATAAAACATCAACATTTTGTTGAGAAATTGAGTGAGACTATGCGAGGGTCTTGAGAATTAATGGTTCAACTTCATCTTTCGTCTTGCTTCAAATTGCCCTACATATATTTTAAATAAAAGCCATTAAACAAAGAATAATAATTAAGACAATTAAATGTATGGTTAAAATAGCATGATAATTAAAATCTATAGTGCTCACCAAGGACGAAATTTCATGACCAAAACTAAAATTTAAGGATCACCAAGTATAGTTGAGGAACCGGGTACCTTCACAATAAAATATAATTTTATTATGCACCTTCATAATAGAATATAATTATAAATATATTAGGACTTATAATATTTATATAATTAAATGTTTACAAGGGTACAATAACAAAAATATTTACCTGTACATTAGAATTTTAATGTTCAATATGACGTAAAATCATAGCCATTTTTGCATTCAAAGCTTCATATTTTTCATCATACTCAACACGTATCTTTTCCACTGTCTCCTTCATTTCATGGGGTGAAGGTTCATCTGGGTTAAAAGGCTAAGTTGCAGCAAGCTCTTCTAGTTGTGTCTGCCTACATACATAGAATGAATAAGGAAACACAAAAAGATATAAAACATCAAATGTAATAAATTTTAGTACTCATATTTTACACTTAATCAAACTAGGAAATAAAGAATTGATGGTCTAAAAAACTTACTTACAATCATTTTGGCAGCATGTTCATCACTAGCTTTGTCATCCTTCTTGCTCTTATGTGTTGCGCAAAATAGTTGAGCACGAGTTGGTGCCTTCCCTAATTCTAACTTCATCTGGATAGTTCTAATGAGCTAATTTAATTAGATTACAGTTTTTTATTGACTTCCATTTCGGTTTTGTGTCAATAAGCATTGTCTTGTGTCATACATGAGTAAACATCATAACCAAGAAGCCATTGCCACAAACCTTCATCAAAAACTATGTAACTCAGGCTTCCCCAGCTCAGACTTTATGCAGCTTATTATATGTTCAGACATTTGTTTATTCTTTTTCTTACAACTAAAAAATTCACAGTACTTTCAGCCTTCTCATCATCATAGGACCTGCGAGATGAACCAAAAACTACTTCTGATCCCATCAAAGAATCTTCTTGACTAATCAATACTAAACCAATTGTAATTAATCACTATCAGAACTAATTTTAAATTCTCTTGGATGCAACTCCAGGATTTTGATGTATGCAATATATAATATATAACTACTGTAGGCAACTGGCAACCCAAGTGCTAGGATACTATTGACTGAAAAAAACTAGAAAAAAATGCTAGAAACTGACTAAAAAAAAAAAGATACTATAAATCATTCAATGGCATTAAGATTTATCGAGTAGGAAGTGCTAAATACGGCAACAATATTGGAAGGTGTCGCCCTCTACTTCTAGTGACATGTCAAAAAAATAATAATAATAATAAGAATCTTATTATTAACTAAAAAAGATGATCAAGCTTATAGACTAGAATTATGGAATCAGAAGTAGATATAATTGCCACTCAGAGAAATGTGATCATGTATTGCGGAATAAGTTTCGTATGCTATATAATGATAGCAGAGGTGATCTCCTTAAGAGACAACAATCCAAACACTTAGCAGAGCCTATAGACTAGTATTTTTATTTTATCAAAGTAGGGGATCTGTGAGTGTTATAGAATTGGCCATGCTTTTAAGCTAATGTTTCAGCAAAGAGCTAAACTGATGATTCATAAATATATAATTAAAATAAGGACATTTTACTTGGCAAATTCAATTATAATGAAGAGCAACACCAACAGCAAATATTAGAAAAAAATAAAAGAAAATAAAGCCTTTTAAAAGAAAAATTTTGCAATGAAAAGCATGTTGACATAAAGTTTAAAAGAGCAAGGAAAAAAAAAACATCACAATTGGTGGAAATCCAATCTAAAGCAAATGAAAAAAAAAAAAAAAAAAAAAAAAAAAAAAAAAAAGAAAAGAAAGAAAGTAAAAGTAAATGCTTTTAGAAGATAAAATTTGTTAACAACTTAAAGATTATGAAAAGTATGTGGAAAAAAATATAAGCAGCTAAAGCTGAAAACAAGAAAGGGCATCAATCAACACACACACACACACACAAACTGCATGGAACAGTGTTAATTCTAACAAAAGTCAAGAAACAATAACCAGAGAAAGGAAATTATAGAACAAAATCAACAATGACAAATTAAAATGGGATTAAAAATCAAGAACAAACAAGAATTGAACATAAAGAACCAAATCAAGCAACCATAACTAATAGACCAAGGAGTCTACAAATCCCAAAACAAAATTTCAAATAGCTCAAGATTAACCGCCTTTAACACAATAGATTAGCGAGTACTACTAATTCCTAAGCCAAAAAAAAAAAATAGGAATATACCAAAAAAAAATCGTTTCTTTATCTCTTCTCAACTGTCCACTTGTTATTTTATATATACATCACAACCACACTTCACTCATGTCTCCAACCATAACTATGAAACTTTGCATAGGCCGGCCATAGTAAAAACCAACACAAACAATACTCTCTCTCTCTATATATATGTGTGTGAGGTGTTGGTATAGTGAAGATGCAAGAAATTCATACCCTCTTTCTCTCTCTAGAATTCTTACACTTCAACCAAAAGATCCCCCCATTCTTTCCATTCCTTCCCTTATTTATAGATATTTACAAGATATTTACAAATATTGACGGATTGCTGGATCTGGGCCTGTTCCTCCATAAGTCCTGGTCACCTTTGATGGGCTTATTCGCGTTCGGCCCATATGGCAGTGTCTTTTTATGGGCCGACCCAGCTGTACGGATCGGATGTCGTGCTTGCAAGTCAGATCCGGCCCATGTCGTCCTGGGCCTCCTCAACTGCCCCCATAATTGCCCCTTATTTAATAAGGGGGTAATTATTGATGGCGTCTCATCATGATGTTGACGGCTCGAGAAAACCACGTGGGGGAACGGACGGTCAGATCCAGAATCAATGTTCCGGGGCTCGATGAATTTCTTGCCTTCCCGACGCTTCGGCCCTCGGGCCCCCCTCGCCTTTATAAGGCTCTAGAATACCACTTCACGTCCTTTTACCGTCTCCATCATCAGTCAAATCTCTCTCTTTCTAGAACAGTGCTAAGCTTTTTCTGGTGAAATCCTTCAAGAGTCATTCTTCCAGCGATCTTGCAGTCCTCTGAGGTTAGTTTTGTTCCTTTTTACTTTCGGCAGGCTTCTATTTACCCCCTTTTTAGATCCTTCAAGCACTTCCACCATGGTTGTAGATCTGGATGTTCTTCGTATGAGACTTAGACTTCCTGACAACATCGAAGTTAGGGTTTGCCCTCAGGACGTTAACATTATGACCGGTGCCGGCCTCCTGCCCGGCGAAGTCTTATTCACGAACCTTCAATTGAACGTCGTTAGGTTCCCTCTGCACCCTTTCTTTAGTTATGTCTTCAATAGATTGGGGATATCCCCCCTGCAGGTAAACCCCAATTTCTTTAGAATCATATCCGTTATGCTCCTGCTGATGCGTGACAGAAATCTGGACCTTGACCTCATAGACCTTCTTCTGTGTTATAAGGTCAGTAAGATCCGTACTAACGAACCCTTCTACCACCTCTACCCGTTCGAGAAGATGTCCATATGTACGGACACAATAAAATCTGAAAAGGGTTGGAGGGATAGCATCGTGGGCATTAGTGGGGCTTGGTCTTCGCCGGCTGCAGAGGGTTACCCAATCCCGAGCGCCTTTGGTGTCTGTTCTGTCTCCTCCTATAAGAAATTCAAATCTCATAAACATGATTGCCCCTGCGAAACATGCGTTCCCCGTTTTTGTACTTTCTTATGCCGTTCCTTAGGAATACCTTGTGATGACTTGAGCTACAGTGTTTGCAGGGATAGGAGTAATTACTTGAAGAAATACGTTCTGAACGATATTCCTTCCTGCTCAGATCTCCTCACTTCAGACAACCTCTTAGCGCTCTCATCACTCGGCTACAACATGAGCAGGCTTCAGATTCCTTCTTTTGGCAGGAAGAAAAATACTCCCCCAGCCACTCCTGCTGCTGGGGCGACCTCCTCTCCAGCATCAGCCTCTTCCTCAGCCACCATCTCTGACACTATCCCGAGCACAGTGGCTATTAACTCCGTTGTCAGCACCCCTGCTGCCAACCCGAGCGCGTCTCCCCAAACTACCACAGCTCCTGCTGCCGCGGGGGGCGTTCGGGATAAAGAACGAGGCAAAAGGCCTCATCCTGACAGTGAAGTCGATCCTGAGGAGGAACCTCTCATAAGAAGGACCCGGGTCTCCGGGCCGGGTGCTCTCTTGCATCGTGCGATCAGAGCTCCTGCTCCCTCTGGGCCTACTGCAGCTGGTGGCTCCGCTTCTGCTTCAGGCCCCCCTTCTATCCCCACCTTACCGCCATGGGCCCCTCGGTACACCCGAACGGATGGGACGTTCGTGAAACCGAACAAGACCATGCTGAAGGATGGCCAGACCACCATGGCGTACTATAGGAGCATGTGGACTCCGAAAGACCTGGAGGCGGCAAAGGGCCTATCCCAGAAGGATGTGTTCAGCCGCTTTCCCCAATCTGCTATGGAGGTGACTTTTATTTTCCAACTCATGAATTCTCTCATATTATTTGGTCTTGCCTTCGCCCGACCTGACTATTGGCTTAACCGTTCTTAATGTACACCTATGCAGACATTGTTCGGAATGATGGCTATGCAGAAGCAGGTGGAGATGGGGAACGCCAGGGCTCGTAAGTTTTCTGATAGCCTGGAGGTGGCTAATAAAGAAAACGACCTTCTCGCCATGAAGAATACCGAGGTACTGGCTCGGCTTGAAAAAACTGAACAAGAGAGAGATGTCCTGAAGAAGGAGAATGACTCTCTTCAGGATGAGAAGGATGCCCTCCAGCTTGAAAAGAGCGTCTGGCAGACTGAGCGTGACTCAATCAGAGACAAAAAGGCAGAACTCCAGCGCCTTCTGGCTGATGAGCAGTCTGCTCGGATGGCTTTTGAGAAGAGAGCTCTGGACGAGCGCACCGCTCTGATCGATGCGATCAGCAGAGTGAGCGGTGGGATGCTGGCTCTTCACGCTCGGTTCTCAAGGGTCGGTGCTCTTAGATATGCTCAAGGATTCCGGGAAGGTTTCGCCGACCGAGTTCCGGATGAGGGACAGACCAGTTCCACTCCAGATGAGGTCGACAAGGATTTAGGGATCGAACCTCTGGGGGTCTATGTCGACCCAGAACCCACCGAAGCGGAGCGCATATTCGATGAGTGCCAGGACATTGCTTCCTCAAGGATCATCACAGCTCCTCCTACCGCTCTGCCTCTGACCGCTCCTCAATCGTCAACTGTGGTACCTTCCATAGCCACTGCTGACGCTGAGCCCCAGCCGAACGATTCAGTCATTCATCTTGATTCCCCACCTCGTGAAGGTGAGACGGCTGATGGGGCCGAGGAGGCGGGTCGGCACAACCAGGATGCTGTTGGTAGTGAGGCGTCTAGCTAGGGCTCCTTCGGACTCTTCGATTCCATATCTTTTTGTAACGATGGACATCTCACTTTTTGTAAACTCAATGCTTAATATCAATGAAATGACAGAACTCTTTTTCCCCTTGTGTTGTGCTCTGTTCAACCTATTTTCAATACATATATATCTTTTCTCTCTTTTCTTTTATATTAGCTTTGCCGTGTGTTTGTTTATGGCAAGTGCCTGACGCTCTACTAGAATGCCACTTGCCACTTGGCTTTAAATTTTTAGCAAGTGTCTGGCGTTCGGCTCATGGTGCCAGCTGCCACTTATCTTGCTTAAGTGCCTGGCGCTCGGCTAGAATGCCACTTGCCACTTGGCTTAAAATTTTTAGCAAGTGTCTGGTGTTCGGCTTATGGTGCCAGCTGCCACTTATCTTGCTTAAGTGCCTGGCGCTCGGCTAGAATGCCATTTGCCACTTGGCTTTAAATTTTTAGCAAGTGTCTGGCGTTCGGCTTATGGTGCCAGCTGCCACTTATCTTGCTTAAGTGCCTGGCGCTCGGCTAGAATGCCACTTGCCACTTGGCTTTAAATTTTTGGCAAGTGTCTGGCGTTCGGCTTATGGTGCCAGCTGCCACTTATCTTGCTTAAGTGCCTGGCGCTCGGCTAGAATGCCACTTGCCACTTGGCTTTCAATTTTTGGCAAGTGTCTGGCGTTCGGCTTATGGTGCCAGCTGCCACTTATCTTGCTTAAGTGCCTGGCGCTCGGCTAGAATGCCACTTGCCACTTGGCTTTAAATTTTTAGCAAGTGTCTGGCGTTCGGCTTATGGTGCCAGCTGCCACTTATCTTGCTTAAGTGCCTGGCGCTCGGCTAGAATGCCACTTGCCACTTGGCTTTTCATTTTTTAGTAGGCCGTTGGAAAAGAAAGTTATTTTTTTTTTGTAAATTTCAGTAACTTGCACATTCATACGTATTTGATTGACAACAAACAACATCCAATTAAAGCCGAAACTTAGCTTTTATTGGTAGTACCTCTTCAGAGACGTGGCGTTCCAGGGCTTGCTGACCAACCTTCCCGCCATGGTTTCCAACGTATATGCCCCCTTGCCTATGACTTCTGCAATTCTGTACGGACCTTCCCAGGGTGGCATAATTTTTTTGACCATCCCCACCTTTCTTTTCAGAACCAGATCGCCAGGGGCAAAATCCCTGTGTTTTACTCTTTTGTTGTGACTATTCGCCAATACTTGCTGATACGATGCTAACCTTATAGCCGTTATGTCCCTCCTTTCGTCTATCATATCGAGGTTCAATCTTAACATCTTGTCGTTCTGATCTCGACTCCATGCTAAGCTTCTGATAGTGGGGACCAAATGCTCAACCGGTATAATGGCCTCGGTACCATATGCCATTGCAAACGGGCTCTCCCCAGTCGGCCGCCTTGGGGTGGTTCTGTAAGCCCATAGAACGTTCGGGAGTTCATCCAACCACTTCCCTTTATGGTCTTCCAGCTTCTTCTTAATGCAGGCGAAAATGGTTCTGTTTGTGATTTCTGCTTGTCCGTTGGCCTGAGGATGACTTACTGCAGCAAACTTCTGGTTGATTCCATACTCCTCCAGCAGCTCTCTTACTTGCCTGCTGTCGAGGTTTGTGCCATTGTCCATGACTATTGATCTGGGAACGCCGAAACGGCAGATAATATTGTTCCAAATAAATCGTCTCACATGAGTCTGAGTCACGCTAGGATATGGTTCTGCTTCCACCCATTTAGTGAAGTAATCCGTGGCCAGTAACACATACTTGTTCTGAGCTCTTGCAGTTGGCAGAGGACCGACCACATCCATCCCCCATTGCGCGAAAGGCCATGGCGAGGCCATTACGTGCAATTCCTCAGGTGGTTGGTGGATCAATGGTCCATATCGTTGGCATTTATCGCACCTTCGAGAGAACTCCTCCGCATCTCTTGACATGTTTGGCCAGAAATACCCTTGTGTCATTGCTTTATGCGCTAACGATCGCCCCCCAGAATGATTGCCACACACACCCTCATGAATAGCTCGCAATACCTGCTGCGACT